CACTTCTGAGTTCATTTAGAGAAACAAAGTCGATGGCTTACTGGTCTGCTTTGGCAAATTAGTGAATTGTTTATGTCCAAAATGAGGAATAAAATTCTTCTGTACACAACTTGGTAATACCTTCAATCTTAATAGCAGCTTGTTTCTTAATTGTCTTTAGCCTTTTATTTAGTGCCTTATGTTGCTAATTGTCTTTGTATCCTGTCATTCTAGGAAGAGATACAAAAGAAGCGCACGCGCCGTGCTGTTAAGTTTCAAAGAGCTATTACTGGTGCATCCTTAGCTGAGATCATGGCTAAGCGAAACCAGAAGCCTGAAGTCCGAAAAGCGCAGAGGGAACAAGCTATCAGGTGAGAAATCAGGTGTCTGGGGCTGTCCTTGGGTATTTAAAATACTACCAACGCATTTTCCTGCAAGATACTGAGCTCTAGCTGAACTCAGTGTATTACAGGCATTTTGGGGGGGAATCAGTGTATTTGGAGGCAACACTGAATAATCTTAGCAAGAATTACTATCAGCAGAGAAGGGTCTCTTCTTGCTCTCTTCCTTTGTGAAAATACTGCTTTTGTCACACGCAGTTCTGTTGTCTCCGTAGCAGTCTTGCTAGAGGCACTGAATGTAGGGGATAAACTTGAGATAATGCATTTGTTTCCTGACCTTAGGGAGCTCTTACAGTGGTTGAGACAAAGAAACAGTGAGTGGCAGAATAATGAATAACTGAATATGAATAATGAATGAATTATTAATATATATTAAATATATATATTTATTATATAAATGAATAATTAGCTTTCTTTCTGTGAATTAACAGGGCTGCAAAAGAAGCCAAGAAAGCTAAGCAGGCCACCAAGAAAACGGCTGTTTCTGCTGCAAAGGTAAGATGCAGTGGGTATATGCCATGTTGTAACACTACTGCAGCACTTCATTGGGAATTTGTGTTTTAATTTGTCTATTTTGATCTGGAAGCATACTGACCAAACTAATGCACTAGAGATAGAGATGTGAACTGCTGAACAGAACAAGCCACTTCTTAGAGGGAGAGTAGATATTGTAGCAAAACCACTTTCTGAGCAGATGCCAATGATGTTTTAGATGTCAACTTGTCTAGATGTGACATTATTTAGAGATTTGGTAGCAGTGTGTTGGTGAGTCTTAGCATGCTTTTCAGTACTGCTGATGCTAATGCTGAAGGTTGGCATCATCCATATTTTAGGTTTATAGTCATACCTGTAGTAAAAATCTGTTAACTCTGATCTGATTTTTAGATTGCTCATTTATCTAAAGAATTGTAAGTGTAGCATAGGGACACTTTCAGTAATGTGGATAATTTGTTTCTCTTTGCTCATATGTTGTTTTTTCTCCGCAGGCTCCAACAAAGGCAGCACCTAAGCAGAAAATTGTGAAACCAGTCAAGGTTTCTGCTCCCCGTGTTGGTGGAAAGCGCTAGCTTTTTCATGTTAGCCATACTGAATAAACATCTAACTCGCTTTCACAACTTGTGTTCTTTTCAACTGTGTGACACATGCTGAAGAGAATTAAAGACCAGTGAACACCCTTGTGCCATAAAATGCTCAGTTCCTTAAAGGATTTGCTATGCTAGAAGACATTTCGTAAGTCTTAAAATGAATACAGTAGTCTAGGCACCAGGAAGGATTGAGCTGATCTGTACACAAGCAGAACAACCTACATGAATGTCAAATGCCATAGAGTTGTAAGTTTAGAATGCAAACTGAGGGGATGTGAAACAGTGCAGTCTGTGACGTAAAGTACACTTTCTTGCATTATGAAACATGTTTGCAAGGTGTTGTACAGGATAAAAGGAAAAATAGTTTCTGAAATGAACATTTCATGAACCACATGGCTTTTAAACAGGAAATAACAAAATCACTGAGTGCTGGAAGCCTTTGTCAGGCAAAACTTATGAAGGTCTTGCCTTGCACAACTTCCTTGAGCTTTTAGTATGCTAAATGGCACTATTTGACCTAATATGGCCCTTCTGCAATTGTGATCTAGTTAGCAGTGCTTACAACCACTTATGATAGGCTGAATAAGCTTAAAATTGTTATCAGAAAGGTAGTAGGAATTAATCATATAGCTAGAACACGACAGTTGAGGGCTACAAGCTTTTTAGAAAGGATAGACAAGGTAGGAAAGATGGTGGAGTTGCCCTGTTAAGAAGTGGATAGACTGAAGAGCTGCCTAGAAGAAACAACCGTTACCAGGAGAAAAGCCTGTGGTTTAAAACTAGGGGCCAATAAAGGACATCTGGTTAGGTTCTGTTACAGGCCACCTGTAACAAGGGGAGCCTGTTGACAAGACTGCTTCAGCTGCAAGAGATGTCATGCTCAGAGGCTCTTGTCCTGGTGGGAAATTTCTACTGTCCAGATACCTTCTGGAAAAACAATTTGAAACTCCTTAGAGACAAATAAATGGAACAGAGTTGGCAGCTCTTTAAGGATGTCTTTCTGAGAGCACAAAGGCTCTCCATCCATCAGCAAAAGAGCAGAGAAGCTAGAAAACTGGCATTGGCTGAGCAAGGAGCTGCTGATGGATCAGAAGGAAAAATACGAAAATACAATTCCACAGGCTGTGGAAGTGGGAATGGGCAGCCTAGGAAGAATATAGGGATTTGCTGTACAGGTGTGCAGAAATGGGATCAGGAAAGCTGAGGTGCAGATGGAATGAAAGTTGGCGAGGGTTATGGAAAATGATAAGCAATTCTACAGATACACTGGTCAGAAAAGAGGCAAAGGAGAGCATAACTTTCTTAGCTAAGCCAGTCTATGAAAATGAATTTGTTGGTACACATTTACTTCAAGCTTGTTTAGGCTCATAAACAATGCAGACATGGGATCCCTTTATTAATTCTCTCCCACTCCCAGGGAGAATGGTTATCTAAACTGTTTATGTATGGTACACAGCTCTCTGGTTTAGGACTTTAGCCTTGTAGGCAGCGTGCCCAAACTTCCCCTCAGCTTTGGGTAGTAATAGCTTCGGGAAAGCAGTGTTTTTTAACTTACTGGAAGTATAGGAGAAAATGAACTTTTTTATCCTCTGGATTGATTCTCCATTTGTTGATGCTACATAGAATCTTCAAGGACCTCAATCGCTAGTTCTGACTGCCATCACCATCGCGCTCACTAAACCTAAGTGTAACATCTACATGGTTCTTGAATGTCTCCAAGGACAGTGACTCCACCACTTCTCTGGGCAGCCTGTTCCAGTGCTTGACCACTAAACTATCTCTCAGCCCGACGCACACTAACAATGCAAAACAGTATTACATTTGGCAAACGCCTATAAGGAGTACACTTTTAGTACAGTCAGTTAAGTTCTCAAAGCTCTTGACAATTAAAATGCATTACTGTTTGCTTTTCAATCCATTTGTCACTTCACAGCTACTCTGAAGAGCTTTGAGGGCTTTCTTTGTTATGTTATTACATTAGCTAAGAAATAAACTCTTTTTCATAGATTTGCTTTCTCTGGATCTTTTAGACTTCAAAAATGCAACAACAGTAATGGATGCTTTGAGTGACAGGTATTATTTTGACTTATATTCAGGTTTCATTAATAAATTAGGCTACAAATCACATCAAGTTTACAAATTATACAATAGATCCAGTTTGATTGATTGCATTAGTGGAATTTGCACCAGAATATTCCTAGTAGTAGTGCTTTTTGCTATAAGACTATAGGAGCTACTCTTGTTTAGAACTCAGTTGAAGACCCTTTTTAAACTCGCACCAAACTTTTTAAAGTGAAGAAGCCAGAAACTTAACAGGGAGGAGAATTTAAAACTGTATAAACTATTGAGTTACTTGTGCTAGCAGTAACTATTAAAACTTGATTTTGTCTTTTGTTGTTGCTTGCACACTGCATACGACTGCCAAAGCTAGTCTTAAAAATTGCACATAAAGTTCATCAGCTGAAAAGTAGAGATAATCCATTAGAAATGATTTGCTTGTAATGCCACGAGTGATGTGTAGGAATTGATTGTCAGATGTGATGGTCCAAGTCTTGGAAGTCTGCAGGTTTTGGATGCTTGAGGTTACCGTAGTGAAGCGTAAGAATGCTATAAGATTACTGTTTGTTGCTGTTTATTTATGAGCTCTGACTGATACAGGGAGACTGGATAAGAAAGAACAGCCCATTATGTTACTCCTTCTGTGAGATACGATGCTAATGATCAAGGCAGGCTGTAGTCAACTGCATATTATTCAGCTCAAACAGATATAATACAATGCATTTAACAAATAAATTCGTAAATAAAAGTCACTGCGGTTACCTAATGCAACTTCATTGATCCTCTATTAAGTATTTATCACTAAAAATGGAATGCTTTTTTTTTTTTTTTAATAGACCCACAGAATAACTTAAATTGAAATGTGCCTCTAGCGGTCACCCCTTACTTAGAGAACATCTGATGGGATCAGGTTGCTCAGGGCTGTACCCAGTCTTGCTGTCTCATAAGAAAACCTAGTCTGGTGTTTTATAATTACCGTGGTTATAAAGCAAATCAATAAAATATCATAATATAACGAGAGCTTTCTGTGTACGAACCTGTATTTGTTGCCTCCTGCTACATAACTCAGAGGAGCTTGCCTCCACCTTTCCTGCACCCTCTGACGGGACAGCTGAGGAACAGCAAGGCCGCAACGAAGCCATCTCTTTCTGAGGCCCGGCACACGAGCTCTCAGCCTCACCCCATACTTTGGTACTCAGCTCTCTGGCCCCTCTGAGACACTTCTACCAACCCCACACCATCCGGCGGATAACCAAATGCTCGGCCAGGGTACTGAAGCACACACTCAGAAGCCCCAGTCAGGGCCGCTCCAGCCCGCCAAGCCTTCGCCCACATCTAAGATGGCCGCCGCCAGCCTTCCGCCCGGCCCGCGCCGTGCCCGGCTCTAAGATGGCGGCCGCACTCTTTCTATCCCTTCCCTGCGCACACTCACCCGGCTCCGCCGCGGCGCGCGGGCTGCTGACGTCGCTTCCTCTTGTGCAGCAGCCATTTTGTCTTTCCGTTGCTGCTGCTGCCCGAGCTTCTCCCTCCCTCCCGCCGCCGCTGGCCGCGAAACTCCAGTTCCCCCTCAGGCCCGGCTCCCGCCGCCTGTCCGTCCCCCCCCACCCCGCTACGCCCGGGGGCGGCCGGCGCCCACCGCGCCACACGCGGATCCCCGCAGCCCTCGGCACCCCTCTCCCGGGGTCCACCGCACGCGGCCGGCCCCGGGAGCGGGAGCCCGGCCCCGCAGCCCCCTCATCTCGCCATGTCCAGCGAGGAGAGCTACCTGGCCATCCTCCGCTACCTCACCAACGAGCGGGAGCCCTACGCGCCGGGCACGGAAGGCAACGCCAAGCGGAAGATCCGTAAAGCGGCCGCCTGCTACGTGGTCCGCGGCGGGACCCTCTACTACCAGCGGCGGCAGCGGGACCAGCAGCGCTTCGCCGAGCTCGAGGTGGTGCTGCAGGCCGAGCGCCGCGCCCGCCTCATCCGCGCCGCCCACCTGGCGCCCGACGGCGCGCACCGCACCCGCCTGCAGACCTGGCAGGGGCTGTCGCAGAAGTACTGGTGGCGAGGTGAGCGCGGGGGGCACCCGCAGGGACGGCGCTGCCGCGCGTAGCCGTGCTCGTCGCCGTGGGGACGCTGAGAGGCAGTGCCTGCGTGCTCCGCCGCCTCGCGGCTGGCGCTTTGGGAGCGGAAGACTTTGCCCTTCAGAGGGGGATGTGTCGTGAGAGGGCTCCTGCTTCGTGCTTCTCAAGGCTCCGTTGGCCTTAGGTCGGTCTTTAGGATGTCGGCCTCGCTGTCTTAGATGCGCCAGCAGCATCGCTGTTGAGTGTGGTTGTTGCACTCACCGTTACATTTGCCTGTTTCCTTCCAATGAGAAGCTGCACGTACAGAGCTAACCCCCAGCTGGGAGCCGAGTGATGTCACAGCAGTTAGAAACAGTGCTGCGCTAACATCAATAATTCTCAGTCGTAGCTTTCTTGCAGCTGAGCCAGCAGCTTGGGATCTGTGTTCCCTATGGAGCTGGTGTTCTACTTTCAATCTGAGGTATCCATTAAACAAATCTCTAGCTTCTCGGTTGCCCAGGGCCTGCTTTCTGTTCGTCCTGCTTCTCTCGTTTTGCTTTTTTTCAGCTGTCAGTAAGCAAATCATAGAGTGGCTTAGCTCGGAAGACACAGATCATTGAGCTGTGGGCAGGGCTATGACTTACGAGATCAGGGCCCAGTGCCCCATCCATCTGGGCTTTGAATGGTTCCAGAGATGGGGAATCCACAGTTTCGCTGGGCAACCTGTACCAGTGCCTCACTACGCTCTGAATAGATAATTTTTCCCTAACATCTGCCCTTGCAACTTTAGTTTTCTCTGTCTTGATTTGTAGGCTTCATACTCTAGCTGCAGCCCATTCTTCCAGTCCAGATCTTCTTGAGTTGAAGGTCTTTAATGTGAAAAAGGATTTGGAGTCTCCAAGTTGATAGATGCATTGTGAATGATGGTCTCCTTGCCTTTGTGTAGATTCTCGTTGTCTGCCCAATATCAAACTGTTGTGGCATCTGCTGCTATCCTAGGCACCTATCCATCCATGCATTCTTAACGGACTTCAGTTTATCTTCTGTTTGTCAGTAGCTTAATTTGTATAGTTTATCTTATTTCTCTTAGAATGGTAAAGTTCACACCTAGCTTTAAATTTGTGCATTTTATTTTTTCTCTCTGTGAAGACAGTGCTTTCCTTGCTGCGATGATCCTCTCTTGGTATTAGGGCACAGCAGCTTTCACTCATTCATCATTCCTAGGTTGATGCTGACCTACTGGGGCTGTAGCTGGGAACCAATGGGCTGGAATGTGGCCCGGGGTTGAGAATGGTATTAAAAGTGGGATCTGCAGATAGGAGACCTCATGTCCTGCCCAGGTTTTAGCTGGAATCAAGGAAACGTAAACCATGTCTGAAATGTGTTTTCATGTCTTGTGTTGCTTGAGGTCTGCATTTTGCCAGTCCTTAACAGGAATGCGTATCTAACATGGCCTATTCCACAACAGTATGAGCAGCATGAGGCTAATGCAGTGTCAGCCCAGGTTCTGGGATGTGATAGATTTTGAAGCATAAAGGAATGGGTTCTATGGGCTCTTATGCTGTCCTTGTGGAGAAAATGAGTTTGGGTTCAAAACTGTACTCTAGAATGCCTTCATGTCTCAAAGGTGACACTGAGGTTAGGAACTGTTGAGTATCCAACATTACTTGGTTACATCTCATAAAGTACTGGAGGGAAGAGCTTCTTTAAACTTCTAGATTCTAAGCAGCTGACTTAAATGTGTGTTAATTATACATACCGATGTCATTGCCTGTAATTCAGTTGATCCCAGTTTTGCAAGAGCCTTTACATAAGTTTTTAAATTCTTGTCCTCTTTAGTGAGGACAAAGGGAGACCTAATTTGCGTGGAACTAATTGCAGGATCCATTTACAGCTTTCGTTGTCTTGGGATTCTTATAATGAATATGTAAATTGAAATATTTTTCCTAGCTTAAAAATAATACAATAGTGTTATAGACAGAACTGGTATAAAGAGAAAGGATAGAGAACTGACTTAATTTTTCTTAAGTAATCATTTCATATATTTTTGCTAATCACATTTTTAATTATGTTTTTAAGGTGAATTACATGAAGATTACAAACCTAATTAACTTCTGTTAATTTTCCTTAGGTATTCTTAAGCAGGTTAAAGATTACATTAAAGAATGCAGCAAGTGCCAAGAAAAGCTAGATCGTTCTAGATCTCTGTCAGATCCTTCAGAAATGCTGGAAGAGCTCGGACTGGATGTAAAATCTCATGAAGACAGTAATGAAACAGATGATGAAGTGAGTAATGCGGCATCAATCCCAGCTGCGTCCCCAAAGCCTGTGAAGAAGAAGCCAATAGCAAAACATGAGCTTGTATTTGTAAGTACCATTGTTTACATCTGAATGTATTTAAGATGTTAGTGCATTTCTAGTTGTGTATCTATTTTCTGTTGCTATTATAATCTGGTCACGATAAGATGACATATGATTTGGCAAAAATATTCAGTGTGTGGAAGCAGGTGACTGGTGTATGTGACATGAAATTAGTGATAGTAGGTGGCCTTTGGAAAATAAAATGACTTTAATTTCTGTATGTGCTTGTGAGACTTGAGGGAAGATGAACTGCAGAAGTATAAGTGAAGCATTCCATATAAGATTCTCATGATATTTGTATCTGTTACTTAATAAATTATGTTATATTTATATGTAAAATTTTAGATGCTGGTAAGCAGGGGTTCACACGTGTAAAGGCTACTGAATCTAGAAGCAGTTTCATGTTGCAGCTTTGAAAAATGCAGTAAAGGAATTGATTGGATACGTCTTCCTATGTTTCCTGTTTGTTGTAACTGTTTCGAAGGAGGGTGAGATTTGCTGTGCCTAAAGAAAGAGGATGATAGTAAGATTATACAGTCTTGAACTACTTTTATGGTTGCAGCAAATAATTGTCTTTGTGTTTCAGTATGAATGCTTAAAGAATGTAATGTCTAAATGTAATGAAGTTCTCATAATGTTGTTTGTGGCAGGTTGACAGTAAGGGCCTTGTGAAGCAGTCATCTTCCAAACATTGTCTGTCAGTCTTAAACCAGCTGAATCAGCAGAGGCTTTCCAATCAGTTCTGTGATGTGACTCTGCTGATTGAAGGAGAGGAGTACAAAGCTCACAAATCTGTCTTGGCAGCCAACAGCGAGTACTTCCGAGAGCTCTTCATTGAGAAGGGAGCTGTCACTAGTCATGAAGCTGTAGTGGATCTGTCAGGTGAATTGTTGTGGGTTTCAAAGATAGAAATTGTTATGTATGAAGTAAGATATACAGTATTTGCTTTAGTCTCTTCTGAGTGTTCGAGACAACCAAATACTTTATCTTGCCTTTTTTTTTTTTTTCTTCTCTTAATCTCCAAGTATTTTGTATGCATTTAATGCTTCAGCGATCGCTCTGGTTTTGCATATCTGATCTCCCATATTGAATTGACAATGGAATTCCATCTCCTAATTTCTTAGAATCTTTGCTATCTTTGATCCAAAAATAAACGTTCAAAAAATAGCTTTGTAGTGATGAAGAATATTGTACAGAACTTGCATGTGTTCCATTCATTTCCTGGTGGTTTCTCAACCATCTCTGTCTTTGCATGAACAATAGACATGAATGAACATATATCATGGTCCAGAAGGTTACCCAAATATTAGATGTATGATTTATTGAACTGTGGGAAATTATACCAAATGCTTCTTTGCAAGCTTTTGTTGATCTTTTTCTTTTTCCCCCACTGGCCACTTTTTAGCCTTATTTTTCTGCAGCTTCAGTTGTTACTTAACTCTTAATTACTTTCTGAATGTAGCGTCCAGAAAGACTTGTAGCATTCAGAAATACTTAAATTAGGATTGATTTGCTTCAAAGATATTCAAACAATCATCTTAAGAATTTTATTGTGAAACAACTTCTGTTCTGCTTATTGAAAAAGTTGTCTGTCCATGAACAAAATATATAAGGAGGATGTTTTTGTTTAAGCGATGGTGATTTGGGTTTGAGTAGAGGGGCTTCGTGTGGGTATGTTTCACTCTAAATGTCAGACTTAACCATATCAAAGATGAACTGATGTATCTATCATGGGGTATTTTGGTGTAACTGGGGGGTCATCAGTGTTTGCTCTAATCTTCCGTTTTGTTCTTGGTAGGGTTTTGCAAGTCAAGTTTCCTTCCATTACTGGAATTTGCTTATACTTCAGAATTAACTTTCGACTTCTGTAGTATGGCAGAACTGGCCATGCTTGCCCGGCATCTCCTCATGTCAGAGGTTCTTGAAATCTGTGAGAATGTTCACAAACAGATGGAAGAGAAACAAATTACAGTGTACCAAAAGGGAGATATTCAAACAGTAGAATCAACACAGAATTTAACAGAGCAGACTGCAGTTGAGATGGCTCCTGTGGACAGTGTTGAGCAGCCACTGCCAGTAGAGCTGGCGGCCAGTGAAGTAACAGCAACTGTGAATGGAGCTCCTTCTTCTGTTGAGCCAGAGGAAAAAGCAAAATCCCAGCCTGGCGTCCCACCCCCAGGGCCTGTGGAGGCCTGTCCTGATGATCTTTCAAAGCCTGTGGAGCAATCTGAAGCAATTGAAAATGGTGTCAAAATGCAGATGGTAGAGAGTGTTTCAAATAGCCCTATGTCTGCCAGGCAGCCTGAGCCATCAGTTCTGGAAGCCATGGATACAGAAAGTGCATTGGAAAAGGAGACAGATGAGAATTGTAAAGTAAACGCAGAGACTGTTTCTGAAGACTCCTCAGAAATGCTCAAGGAAAAGCATGGCAGGCAAAGTGGAGAACAGAGCCTTTCGGCCTCGCCACCGGAAAGCTTGGCTTCCAGCCAGGATGACACTTACAAGAGTAAGCTTCGGCAGCGGTCTGTTAGTGAAGGTGGATACATCAGGTTGCATAAAGGAATCGAGAAGAAACTGCAGAACAGAAAGACAAATCCTAAATCTGCAATACAGCAGGTATTCTTCTGTTTCGGCCTGTTTGTGGTCGTTTGTTTCCAAATCAATTTGAAAAGACTGTTTCTCATTTCCAAGCACTGTCTGGCAAATGTTTTAAGTGTTTTTTTTTTTTTTTATTGAGAAATCAACATTACTGCAAACTGAAGTAACTTAATATGTGGCCGTTGTTGGGGGGGAGTATCAAAACTGTTTCCAGATTGGAGATTTTTAGAATGCTTGCTATTCTTAGCCTACCTTGAGTATCACCTTCATAGCTTCCTATGGTTGGACGGAAGGTGTATCTACTTCCTAAAACTCTTAATGACCTGCAGATTTATTTCTTAGGTGGCACATGTATACGTCAGTGATAGACAAATATGTAGATATATAGATCCATTACTGAAGTCAGGCCTACATCTGTTAAGACTCACATCCTAAGTAGCCAGTCGTAAATTACAATGATCCATCGCTGCTACCTTTAGATTGGGACTGGTTAATGTAATGAAAAAAGGAGTAGTGATATTAATAAACAAGCACTCAGACACAGTAAATGCTTAGTAGCTGAATATATATATTTTTTTTCTTTTAATGAAACAAGGGTCTTATTCTGTCCCGATCAGGAACCTTTTCTGCTTTTGGTGTACATGGTTATGTGACATTGATCTCAGTGAGTATTAGGGGTTTTTTATTGAGAGAGTAGCCTAGAATCATATAATGGTTTGGATTGGAAAGGACCTTTAGGATCATCTAGTTCCACCCTTCTACTATAGGCAGGGACACCTCCCACTAAACCAGGTTGCTTAAAGCCCCATCCAGCACGGCCTTGAATACTTCCAGGAAGGGGGCATCCACAACCTCACCGTGCAACTTGTTTTGGTTTTTCACCACCCTCACAGCAAAGAATTTCTTCCTGATACCTAGTCTAAATCTACCCTCTCCCAGTTTAAAACCATTTTCCCTCATCCTGTGCTACCTGCCCTTATAAAAAGTCCCTCCTCAGCTTTCCTGTAGGCCCCCCTCAGGTACTGGAAGGCTGCTGTAAGTCCCCCCCCCAGAGCCTTCACTAGCTTGAAGAGCCCCAGTTCTCCCAGCCTGTCCTCTGATCATTTCCATGGCCCTACTTTGGACATACTCCCTAACAGCTCAATGTCCTTCTTGTGCTGGGTGTCCCAGAACTGGATAGAGAACTCCAGGTGGGGTCTCACAAGAACAGAGTAGAGGGGCGTTATCACCTCCTTCAAACTCCTCTTGATGCAGCCCAGGGTACACTTGGCTTTCTGGGCTGCAAGCACACATTGCTGGCTCGTGTTGAGTCGCTCATCAACTGACACCCCCAAATCCTTCTCAGGGCTGCTTTCAAGCCATTCCCCACCCAGTCTGTATCTTTGGTTGTGATTGCCCTGACCCAGGTGCAGGACCTTCCACTTGGCCTTACTGAACTTTGCAAAGTTGGCATGGGCCCACTTCTCAAGCCTGTCCAGGTTCCTCAGGATGGCATTCCTTCCCTCTGGTGTGTCAACTGCACCACTCAGCTTGGTGTTGTATGCAAACTTGCCAAGGGTGCACTTGATCCCACTGTGCACATTGCCTACTAAGATGTTAAATCACACTGGTTCCATTACTGATTCCTGAGGTACACCACTTGTCACTGGTCTCCAATTGGACACTGAGCCATTGACTGTAACTTTGGAGTATGTCAATCCAGCCAATTCCTTATCCAGCAAATGATTCATCCATCAAATCCATTTTTCTCCAGTTTTGTTATGAGGATGTCATGTATGTCAGTGCCAAATGCTTTGCACAAGTCCAGGTAGATGATGTCGGTTGCCCTTCCTTTATCCACTGATGCGGTAAATCCATCATAAAAGGCCACCAAGTTAAGCATGACTTACCCTTGGTGAAGCCATGTTGGTTACCACCAATCACTTTGTCTTTATTTTCCATGTGCCTTAGTAGGGCCTTCAGTAGGATCTGCTCCATGATCTTGCCAGGCATGGAGGTGAGATGACTGGCCTAAAATTCCCTGAATCTTTTTTTTTTTCCCTTCTTGAAAATGGGGGTTATGTTTCCCCTTTTTCAGTCAGTGGGGACTTCACCAGACTGCCATGATCTTTCAAATATGATGGATAGTGGCTTAGCAACTTCATCTGTTGATTTCCTTAGAACCAATGGAAGGATCTCAGTAGGTCCTGTGAATTTCACAGAATCACAGAATTGTAGGGGTTGGAAGGGGCCTCCAGAGATCATCGAGTCCAACTCCCCTGCCAAAGCACCTTCAGGTTCTTTAGATGGTCTCGAACCTGATGTTCACTTACGCAAGCAGATCTTCCTTCTCCTAGTCCTTCCCTCTGCTTTCTGCAGCTTGGGTCGTATGGCTAGAGCCCTTGCTGGTGAAGACTGAGGCAAAAAAGTCTTTGAACACCTCAGTTTTCTCCATATCACCCATGACCAGGTCTCTAGTTTCCTTCTGGAGAGGGCCTGCATCTTCCCTGAGCTTCTTTTATCACTGATATATGTGATATGTAGAATTTCTCTTGTTCCTCTTTCTGCCCATGGCTAGATTTAATTCTATCTGGGCATTAGCTTTTCTAACCTGATCCCTGGACAAAGTCTTTCTAGTCCTCCCAGGTAATTCATTCCTGCTTCCACTCCCTATAGGCTTTCTTTTTGTGCTTAATTAAGTCCAGAAGCTTTTTGTTGATGCATGGAGGCCTTTTGGCATTCTTGCTTGCCTTCTTTTTTCTCAGGATGCATTGCTTCTAAGCTTGGAGGAGTTGGTCCTTAAATACTGACCAGCTTTCTCGTGCCCCTCTTCCCTCTAGGGCTTTATCCCATGTCACCCTGCCAATCACTTCCCTGAAGAGTTCAAAGTTTGCTCTCCTGAGGTCCAGAGTAGCAAGCTTGCTGCACATCATCTTTGTTGCTCTGAGGATCTTGAACTCTACCATTTCGTGGTCACTGCAGTCTAGGGCTGCCCTTGAGCTTAATGTTACTCACCAGCCCTTCCACATTGGTGAGGACAAGGTCCAGCATAGCACCTTTTCTTGTGGGTTCTTGTAGTATCACTTGGAAGTTATCAACACATTCCAGGAACCTCTTTGATGTCTGGTGCCCTGCTGTATTGTCTCTCCAACAGATACTGGGGTGGTTGAAGTCTCCCATGAGGACCATGTTTTGTGAATGTGAAGCTACTCCTATCTGTTTACAGGGGGCCTCATCCACTTTGGTCTTCCTCATTGAGTGGCCTGTAGCAGACCTCCACTACAATGTCTCTTCCCCCTGCCTTTCCTTAACCCTAACCCATAAGCTCTGTCAGCTCCTTCTCTGTCCCTAGGTGGAGTTCCATGGACTCCAGCTGGTTGTTGATGTGGAAGCACCCCCTCCCATTCTACCCTGCCAGTCTTTCATGAAGAGTTTATACTGAGCAATTCCTCCCAGTCATGGGAGACATCCCACCATATCTCAGTGATGCCAATGACATCATAGCCCTGTAGGTACACACGTGTCTGCAACTCCCTGCTTGTTCCCCACACTTCGTGTATTAGTGTACAGGCATTTGAGTTGGGCTCCTGTTGAGGCTGATGTACCAATTGCAATGCTATTCCCTTAGCATATGTGAAATGGCAGCAGTGGGTAGTAGCCTGTGGGATGTACAAGGTCTGGCAGCTTCTCTGTCCCACCCCTGATGAGTAAGCTTTGCTTTATTCATTCCACTTCACTGCATGTTACATCTTTCCAGTGTTTGTGAAGTCCTTCCATGGTAGATGTACCAGTCCCAGGCTCAGATGTGTAATTTGTTATTGTTATCCTAGCAGATGGTAGCATTAGCCTCTGTTAACAGGTTAAGAAGTTAAAGCCAAGTACTGAAACTAGGACAGTCAAAATATAACAAGTGCTATATTTGTGACTTTGGGGTTTTTTCTGTTTTTGGAGGGGCATTATCTTGAAGATAATTTCAGGAGAAGCTTTGCTTAACTTACTTGAAGATTTTAAGTTCCTGCCCTTGACAGAGGAATGTTTTAAATAATTGTTCAAATTTATTTAATTTGAGTCAAAAATGGGTTTCTGCTTTCATAATCGATTTCATAGTTTTGCATTTGTTTTGTTTTGTGCTCAACTCCCCACACGGTGCTGGATGTTTTATGAGGGTTAGCAAAGAACCATTCCTTCCTGAGGTCCCAATTTTGATACTGGGAGAATAACATGACAGAGAAATTACAGCAAAAAATACTTGTAATAATTGCAGTTGGCATGGAGATGTCAGGGATAAAGCATGAATTTTCGAAGCTCTTACTGATCATCTACCAGTACTGCCTAACAAGAAAGTTAGAACACTCTTAACTGGAAGTAACTTTGCTTAAATATTGTAAATTTATTTACAGGTTGTGACTAACTCTTCTCATTAGCTGGTAAGAATGATTGAAGCCAGTTTTTTTTTTCTGTAATTTGATGACTTCTGAAATAAATCCTGAAAGGGGATGTTGGATTTAAAGAAATAGTTGGAAACATTTGGTAGAAGTTATGATGGGAAGCATTCGTGGTTCCTCTCTGTGTGTCCCTTAGTTTGCGCTTAACCAAGCTAGGTTACTTAGTTACTTAGGGCTGAAGGATTAGTTGTCTCTGGAGTCAATTAATTATAATCAGATCACAGTAGGGAAAAATGGTCCTGTTTTAAAATCACAATAGCTGTAAACAGAAAACTACTGGATAGTGATGCCCTATAAGCGTAAACTAAGCAAGACTGGTTGATGTTACAGTGACAAAAAAAAATAAGCTTTAGTGCTGACTTTCAGAAGAAGTATGAATTGTACTGTAATAAAGTTCATTCACAGGTTATGCTTTCCTGATGTAGGTTGCCATGAAGCTGGTTCAGAGAGGGAAAAAAATGAAACAGCCCAAAAGAGAGACCACAGAAAATAATGAAGTAGAAGCTCAGCACAAATGCACTGAGTGTGGAATGGTGTTCCAGCGACGCTATGCACTCATCATGCACACACTGAAGCATGAAAGGTCTAAAGACTACAAGTGCCCAGTAAGTTCTTTGTCCGTAACCTTGCTATTAAAAGTCATTCAGTAATAACATTCATAATTATTTTTCTTGTCTCTTTCAGTATGTGCTTTTGTTTTCCTCATAGATGTTAGAGGCAGATGGAGCCTTGATCTGAATAGGTAGAATTCAGTGCAGCCACATGGACATGCTCCCATGTCACATGATGCTCTCAGGCACACTGTTGTTCGTAGTGCTGGGGTGGGTTTTCCTCCTTGCCATATCAGTACATCTGCAACTATATTCAGATTAGCTTGCAAGTTGGAGCGTTACTGGGAAGCTATCAGCACTTCTTCACTTAGCTATGAAATTCAACATTTAATTAACCAGAGATAAAATGTCTATAGGAGTCAAGCTGTAGACCTACCTGATCAGATTACTGCTCTTAAAATCCTCGCTCTAGCTTTTTTGAAATTAATTTTAAATGTTAAAGCAAAGTAAAGTTGTAATGTTTTCTTTTTCAGTTGTGTAAAAAAGAATTCCAGTATGGTGCCTCCCTGCGAGCCCATCTTGTCCGACACACGCGCAAGACTGAGGTGAATGCTGCAGCTGATGGTGTGGAAGAGACAGGCGTGTCCTCAGTGAAAGGGAGAACTAAGCGCGAGTTCATATGTGATATATGTGGGAGAACTCTGCCTAAGCTCTATTCTCTCAGGATACATATGCTCAAACACACTGGTGTAAAACCACATGCTTGCAAGGTAAAGAGAAAAATATTTTAGTATTGACTCTCTGTTCTGAAAAATAGATTAATCGTAGAATGGCTTGGGTTGAAAAGATCCACAGTGATCATCTGGTTTCAACCCCCTGCTATGTGCAGGGTCGCCAACCAGCAGCCCAGGCTGCCCAGAGCCACATCCAGCCTGGCCTTGAATGCCTCCAGGGATGGGGCATCCACAGCCTCCTTGGGCAACCTGTTCAGTGCGTCACCACCTCTGTGGGTAAAACTTCCTCCCGATATCTAACCTAAACCTCCCCTGTCTCACTTTAAGACCATTCTGCCTTGTCCTTTTGATACTTGCCCTTGTAAACAGTTGTTCCACCTCCTGTTTATACGCTCCCTTCAAGTACTGGAAGATCACAGTGAGGTCTCCCCAGAGCCTTCCCTTTTCCAAGCTAAACAATCCCAGTTCCTTCAACCTTTCCTCATAGGAGAGGTGCTCCAGCCCTCTGATCATTACAGAACGGAGAAAATACTGTTACATTCCTGATGATATTTCTTGTAGTTCAAAACTGAGAAGTAGAATTGAACTAGATATGGGATCTTGAAAATTAATGTTCTCAGTCTAGAATATGTATTCGCTTGAGCGTTCCTGTTTTTAACAGACTTGTTTTGCTACATGTGAGATATTGCAAACTTGGTCATCCTAGTTCCTAAGAAATCCATAAGTTTTTTCTGTTTGAAGATAACAGCTTTTCAAAGCAGCTGTGTTTTAAGTATTGAGTTTTATTTGTTTTTGGATCTGGATTTCTTTTCAGGTTTGTGGAAAGACCTTTACATATAAGCATGGATTAAAAATGCACTTAGCTCTTCACGAAGTACAGAAACAATTTAAGTGTGATTTGTGTGAGAAGTCCTTTGTCACAAAAAGAAGCCTTCAAGAACATGTGAGCATTCATACTGGTAAGTGAGAAGGAAGAGGAGCCTTTCACTTTGGATGGCTTTTGTGTGCTGGTGAACGCTAACATTGCTCTTCGGTGTGAAAGGTACTGTTGGAAATAATTAGTTCTTCCCTTTGGTCAACCTGTTGACTTAGAGGTAAGCAATCATCTTGCATATATCACTATAGCTGAAGGTTAATAAGCAAATACTGTATATGAGAACAAGGAGTCACGTTTAGTCTGTTGCTATGTTTTTGTTGTTTATGCCTATATTATATCTGTTCAACAGAGACAGACAAGGGGATGGAATATTTTGGAGCACTGTGTACACTTTTGGTCTGTACTTTCAGAGGACAACTTGCTAAGTTAAATTTCTTCAGAATCCATGTATGTTTTACAAGATTTTCTGTACTAATTAAACATTCATTAAGAAAGAAGATACTATCTGCTGGTCTTCTAAATTTTTTCAGTAAAAGACAGATATTTTTAGTCAGTATGAGAAATATGCTTCAGTTCTTATTCCTACTTTTAAATACCTTACATCTTATGCCATGAAAGAGGAAAACAATGTGTTATTTGTATGGTCTGCAACCTGTAGGTGTTCTCATCCCTTCAGATAAATTCCAGGAGAAGAAAATAATGCTTTCACAAAGCATTCCAGAGAGATGGAGGCTTGTCTTTGTAACATGCCTGGTTTTGTTTTTGTCAGGAGAATCCAAGTATCTTTGCACCATCTGTGGAAAATCTTTCCATAGGGCATCGGGACTCAGTAAACACATAAAGAAACACCAACCAAAGCCTGAAGTTCGTGGATATCAGTGTACCCAGTAAGTTGTTCCGTGGTGGTGTTTTTTATTAAGATTAAAAGCAGTTCCTGTTTGAAACACAGCTGTTTGTTTGCCTGCAATAGGACTTGTAAAGTGCTAAATAATAATAATTTAAAAAGAAAAATTGAAAAAAAGGCTTTTGTTAATACATATTTTGGTGAGAGAAAACGTTTTTTAACTAGTCTCGTGCAATCATGTTGTAATGTTGTTGTATACACCATACAGTACGTTGAGCAAATGTTGTATCAGTATTGATGACCCTACATTGCAATGCTAAGACCTTTACTTCTACAGGTGTGAAAAGAGTTTCTATGAAGCTAGAGATCTCCGTCAGCATATGAATAAACATTTAGATGTGAAGCCATTTCAGTGCCAGTTCTGTGGAAAATGTTACAGTTGGAAGAAAGATTGGTATTCTCATGTAAAGTCTCACTCTGTCACAGACCCTTATAGGTAAGAAGAAATGTACTTAACTGAAATATACACGAGATTATACAGTTCCACAGCCCTAAATTAGTTCAGAAGGAACTGTCTAGTCTGTGGTAAAAGTGCTAATTGTTTGTCCTTGACTGGAGCCTTGAGTTTTTGGGAATGGATGGATGATTTCAAATCAGCTGGTCAAACTGGTAATTTGCTGGCACAACCCTGGGGCTAATACATAAGAAGTCATAAGAGGATAAATGTGTTTAGTTTAGAAATGCTTTGTATGTGATCTTGCTGCTCTGGAGCGGGAAGTGGAAGCTTTGTGGCTGTGAATAGGAGAAAATATGGCTTTCACATTTTTAATTATGGAATTACCTGTCATAGGAAGCAGCATTCCCATTAAACTTTACCTACATTAATTAAAGTTCAGTTTTTGTTCAAGCAACTTAAGAGAAGCATAGGATAATGGCTCTGACAGATCTCCTATTTAACACGTTCTAGGTGTAATGTGTGTGGTAAAGAATTTTATGAGAAGGCTTTGTACAGAAGACATGTGAAGAAAGCCACGCATGGGAAAAAAGGAAGAGCAAAACAAAACCTGGAACGAGTCTGTGAGCATTGTGGAAGAAAATTCACACAGCTCCGGGAGTATAGGAGACACATGAACAATCATCAAGGTATGTGGAAAGCAGGCAGTCAGCACATTCCCCAGCCCCTAAAAATGTTTCAAAGAGATTATCTTGGGTTTTCACTGAATCTGTCTGTCCTGTGATGCAGGAGACACAGAAATTCTTATAGATTGGCCAGTTAGTTTTATGCTTGTCCTAATTAGTTAACTTGCTTGCAGTGATTCCCAGAAGTGGCTGTTGGGATCTTTCTAAAACTATGGTAGCATGGGGACAGAACTAATTTGTCTTTCTGAAGCTTTAATGGAAAAGGAATCCTTTATTTCTTTTAGAAATGATAAAAAGCAGTGTATCTGGCAAAGGTTTGTATGTAGTAGTTCGGAATGGCACGCAGTTAACAAAACATTTCTAAGTCGAGAGAACTGTTGGCTTGAATTTAGAAAAGGAATCACTGGAAATTGGTCACCTTCCTGATTTATTACAAGATTATAAAAACTTCACATCCCATGCAGTATTTCAATGTATGCAGAGTGAGGGAGGAAGAAAAAAGCTGTAGATGGCCTTAGAAGCCATCTTAAGAAGCCATCTTAAATCTTAATGTCTGGTCCTTGCATTATACTGCATTACCGAAGGGGTAAGCGAGATCCTGTTCTTGTACAGAAAAAGTTGTGCTTCTCAGATTTCTGTCATTTCTCACTGTTTTACAAAGGCTGAGACAGCTTTGCTTTGCTTTTGAGAGCAGGTGTGAAGCCATTTGAATGCCTCACTTGCGGAGTCGCGTGGGCTGATGCACGCTCCCTGAAGCGCCACGTGAGGACGCACACTGGAGAACGACCGTATGTCTGCCCGGTTTGCAACGAAGCTTACATCGATGCCCGGACGCTAAGAAAGCATATGACCAAGTTTCACAGGGACTACGTGCCCTGTAAAATAATGCTGGAAAAAGATACTCTTCAGTTTCATAACCAGGGAACGCAGGTGGAGCACGCCATCAGCATTTTAGCAGCAGACATGCAGGAACAAGAAACTGAGATTAGTGTTGGTGGTGAGGAGATCGAAACTGTGGTGGTGACTGGAGACACGCTTGAAGCAATCGAAGCAGTTGCAACTACTGAGCAATGCTCGTCAGTCTCTACTCTTTCTGACCAAAGCATCATGCAGGTGGTAAATTATGTACTTGCACAGCAGCAAGGACAGAAAATGGCTGAAGTTACTCAGGCCATGGAAACTGTAGAAGTAGAAGTAGCCCATGTTACGGAGACAGAGTGAGTAGAGCCTGTAAGAGAGAGCGAGGGGGCCAAAGTCTTACCATGTGGGGCAGCCAGGCTTTAGCTGGGTATTCAAGACTTACGGTGACACCTGTTCTCAAACAGTTAATCCCCTATACTGAATTTCTTGGCTATGAAATATTGCACTGTGTGCTACAGAGAAAAAGTTTAAATGCTTCAGTTTAGGCCAATACTTTGAAGGCAGAGATGTCTGTACTGGTCTTTTTTTTTAAAAAAAAAAAGTTGGACTGATAATATTTCCTGGGTAAGTATCGTGCTGTAAATTTAAACACATGTACAAAGAAGCTGCACTAAAACCTAGAAACATACAGTAATTGATAACTTGTGTTTAATGTGCATTTCATCAAGTTTGTCAGCAAATTGCCAGAGTTGGGTTCCCTCTCTTGCCCGAAACAAGGCAATGATGAAATGCTTCAGCTGTGCTTTGTGTGTGACTTAAAGAAAATCTGAGGCTTTTGTCTTTTGGCAGTTGTGACATCTGCAATCAGTGAATCCCAGTTTTGCAGGAGTTATTTATATTCCAAGTCAGTGGGCAGCAGGTCCAAGGTTCCAAAAAAACTAATGGGCACGACTGCTCTGATGTCTGAGGGTGTGGTACTCTGAGATGAGGAAAACAAATTCACTGGAAGACAGCTCATTTCAGAGATATTACTCTACGGTAAACTGCCTTTCATCTTTTAAGTGAGGAGCTTACACCTCATCCTCTATTATGTTTAGGTGAATAATGTTGAGATGTGTAAAGGAACTGTTATTCTGTGTATCCAAAGCGGGTAACTCAGTGACAGATATATTTCTGCATTAAATTTGATACAGAAAGTTGTAAGTGAAAGGGATGTAATGGGCATATTTTTGTACAGAAGGAGTCCTGCTACTTATGATCTGATTTGGTCTCTTGCTGATGGGAGGAGCTCTGACAATTCCCAAATGGGGGACACAGCAGTATCAGGGTAGAGAATTACGAGTATCTCAGTATCATGTAATAAATTGGTCTTAAATGTCTTCTGGAGACTGGTGATTTTATTGCTGCTGCTGTAACAAATGCTAGGGCAAGCTAATTTCCTAGTGTTATACTATGTGGATTGAAAAATTCTTACTAGGTTTTCGTACTAGAAAGCTTGACTCACAGCAATGCTTGGCCCCTAGTTGAAATGTCTGTGATTTAGTACTATGTACTGTATGCATCTCAAGGTGTGGGTTCTTTCATTTTTTAAGTTCTTTTTAAACAACAAATGTGTCTGATTGGAGATGATGGGATGTATTTGAACAGTCAGAACTGTGTTCTTTAAATTAGTCCCTCTAGCATTGTCAAATGCTTTCCAATTTTGGCAGCAGCAGCAGCGTACCCATGGAAGCCTGGAACACTGTCGAGTGCAATTGGTAAATGAAGTTAGATGTGTGTATCTCTGTATCCATGAAAAAGATCCATTGAGGAGCATTGCAGAATCCATGATAAAGTAACCACTTCATTTGAAAGAGTATTTTTACCTCATCACATTTAACTATGAGCATCTGCTTATGAAGCTACAGCACACTGTTCTTTTTCTATTTTACAAGCATGCAGATGAGCAGTGTTGACCTTTTTTTTTCTTAAGTTAATCTAAGTTCCTGCCTTGGATTTGTGTTAATCTGTGGATGACCATTTCAGAGGTGAAGGTCATCCTGCAGAGAAGTAATGTCATTGTTTATATATCCTGCAGCCTTTAGAAGTATGGGGTTTTTTCTTTTTCTGGCTGCCCAATTGAGTAAAAGTAAGAGGAATACTTTGGGGAAAAAGTACTGCTCGCTATAACGCTTCAATTTTTGTATGGTAAAGGAATCTTGAGATAGCCATCCTGCTATAAATTATAAAGACATAGGTAAATTAACAGTTCTTACTGCCATTATGATGAGAAAAGAATAGACTGCTAGGTAATCTGTAAAACTTACTCCAGTGTTTGTATCTGACAAATAATTATGTATTAAGTGATGAAATGTCAAGGAAATACAGCTGTAAATAACGCTAGAACATTATTTGTATATTTAGTGTGTTACCTTACAAAGAATATTATTGGCACCTCAGTTTAATCTTTTAATCTTTGGTGCATTAATTTATTTGCCCAGCATATGGTAAAAACAGAAATTTCGGAGCCTGCTTTAACTGATGTGATGGCCTGCCATTAAAAAAAAACAACAAAAAAACAGATGAAAAACCACCTGAGAAGTTGTTTCATAAGGGAAACTCAGCCAGGAATATCAAAGCTGAACATTGGGACATCCCTTTCCTGACGTACTGTGCCTTGCCTTTTCAGAATGGCATGAAGTTAGCAGGGGCTGTCGATGCCTGTTTTGCTGTTCCTGTGTTTGTACAGTTGCCTTATGTTTTTCTTTAGATTTCTTAAGCTCTTAATTTAAGATTCTCCCACAGCCTATTTGAAGACTGCTAATAATGCAGTTGATATTATTTAAGTTGATTTTTTTTAAAAAAAATAAAGCTCCTAAGATGTATCCATTTATATTCCTAGTAATAAATTCTTGTACATAATTTGATCTGTAAACTATACTGTTTTTATGTAGTGTTTGATGTATAAAGTTACGGTTTCTGTCATTAAATAAACCCAGTATTGTCAGAAATTATTCTCTTAAGCAACTTTTTTTTCTGTGGAAAAGGTTTGACTTACTTATTCCTTCTCTGTATTCTGCCATCTACATTGGTTCCTTCAAAAGTAATGCTTCCACAAATGCAGGAAGCAGGTAACACTTTGATGGAGCACAGTCTCAGCTACCAAACATTTTTCAGCATAGCCACCACCACTAGCTATGCATTTTCACCAGCAGTGAACAAGAGCCACACTCATGAAAATCTGCACCAGCAGCGGTGCCCCACTGTGTTTCATGGCTGCTATGACTGCACTGTTGCTAGAAAATAGGAAAATGTTGCCCATGTGGTCCATCTTTCATTGCCCTGAACAGATGGAAGTCAGAAGTGCCAAATCTGACCTATACATTGGATGTGGGAGGACAAGCAATTTGCTCCATGGTCTTCCAACTGGTATGGAAGCGTGGTGTTACTGTGTTGCATGAGAAAGGTGGACATCTTCTCTGACCTGACTGAGCTTGGTCAGCATTAATGGTTGTGGTTCCAGAAAATCCAGGACTCTTTCCTACCTCAAAAGGCAATGAATGACTGTACTCACTGACTGCTGCATACTGAACTTCTTTCATGGGGAATTCACTCGTTGCCACTCCACAATGCTTTCTTGAGTTTGATTTGTAGTGCTGATGCCATGTCTCATTACCTGTAATGATGGGATCCAGGAAATGGTCATCTTCAGCTTTCTTTCTGTTCTTTATGTTCCTATGTGAGCATTTTTGAGACCTACCTGGCAGGGGCTTTGTGACATTTCAACATTGTTCCAATGCATTGAAGCTGACATTCAGCTCCATGCACAGTTCCCTGGTTGTAATCTGCTCGTTTGTGTGGAGATGACTGAAAATACTTTGTGGTATGACAGCTGTGCATGGCCATCCAGAACACAGCTCATCTTTCACGCTGCTGTTGCCACTGCTGAAATGTACCACCCACTGCCTCACTGTGCTCACATCCACTGTTTGGTTTCCATCAATGTCCAGCAAGTGCTGATGGATGTCCATGGGTGCTGTTTTTTCTGCATGGAGGAATTCAGTTTTGCTTCAAACACACTCCTGTGTCAGCTGTCATTCTGTCAGACTCCCCTCTACTGCCATCTGTCACAGCAACATGGAAGAGAATATTGGTGGGAAGGTCCCACCCTACTGCCATACCACCATCTGCTTCTGACATTGTGGGCCACCATAACAACATAGGAGGCATTACTTTTGGATCAGCCCTCATCCATACACCTAGGAAGCTGTTCCATATTGTTCATTTATCACCTATGTTCAACTTTTGCTGAAGTTAAATAAACTTGTACAAGGATAGGAAAACCAGTGCATTCCTAAATGAAGTGTTAGGACACGGGCAGACTAGAGCACAAGCACTGTATAAATGTATACTGTGCCTGTGTTTAACACTGCTACCTAGGAGGAAGCATCATGTGGCACTTATGGCTTCACTCCTATTCTGGGCTGGGAAGCTCTCCAGCATCACTCCTGGCTGAAGGACATTAGTCGTACAGCTGCCTTCTCGTTACTGCTAGCAACTTAAGGCAATGCTGGTGTTACAGAAGAGCCAGCTTTGTTGTTGTTTTGTTCCTGGGGAGGTTGTTTTGTCGGGATTCATTTGTTGGTTTTGTTTATCCTGCTCCCTAATGGAAACACTAGGACTTGGGCACATCGACCCTTAGCATTTTGGCACATTAGGTAACTCTTCTGCGAGCCCACGCAGGAATCTAGGCTACATCAGAAGAACACATATCAAAACTAGGGTTTCAAAAGGCTGAGTACACAAGGACTAACATGGCCTAGCAATGAACAAATACTGTTCAGTAAGGCTGCAACTGTAGATTTAAAAATTAAAAACCACAAGTGATGTGTGGAAAACTTTCCCTGCCCTTTGATTTGAACCAGATTCACATCCCTCCTGGCTGTTAAATGAAGAGCTGTGAAGAGCTGTGCATACCTAAAGCATTGGAACTGTGTACCTACTTAGCAGGCTAACCATTAGGTTATGTCACAACTCTACTGTGACACTCATCAGCTATGAGACTTGCCAGAAAGCTCAGCCACATATGTAAAATATGTCTGTCAGAGGGCCTTGTCTTATAAATGGTAGCATCAGCATTAACTTATTCACTACCACTAAGTTCAGCAGCCCAGACTAGTGCTAAACAAGCACTTAAGATATGCTTTTTTTATCTAAGATACACTAGCTTCAATATTAGTCTTCACACTATACTATTCTATTTTGTGTCTGCAACACCAGAGTGCAGTTTTGCTTATGTATGAATATGAAAAGCTACCAGATTTTTTGCACAAAAGCAAAGGCTGAATTACCATTTTATAACCACCTACCAAGCATCAGCCAACACTTAAAACATAATGATTACAAATTATGGAAAGCTAGGGAAAAAAAAAAAAAAAAAAAGAACTGTATTTTTATTATGACTTGCATTGCCTTAGATTAATGTATTTGTACTTCAAGGAAAGTATTAACATAGGCTCATGACCTGAAATTTCAGCATCTGTTTCACTATGAAATCCAAGGAACCGAATTTAAGAAAGAGGTCAAAGATGAGCAAAGGTTTTCAAGATCTCACTGCACGTAACTTTATCAGATAGTTTATATTCCAGTTGCTAGCTGTGGCAGTCACTGCCACTCTTACCTACTCTACCTACCCTGAAGGGAAGCTGGCATATATCTATTTATACTGCAGAACAAATGCACGCTAAATTTTAAAGGTTTACTTGGTACTTAAATCTCCTTCTTAGGGGGAGGCTCCTATCACTCTTAATTTAGAAATGGAAATTCACAGACATTTAATTAGTTCTACATAAGGTTAAAATGTAACAGCTCGTGCTTCTAATTGCATAGATATCCATGCCTCCACCCAGAAGCAATGGCTTGTTATTTAACAAGTAGCTTCCCGAAGTAAACACAGTGTAGTTTTTAAGATTCAAACACATATCAGAGTGAAAGAACTCTGTTAGGCAGTAAAAGCTTCTGGGCTTCCTCACAACCCAAGCTTTGACAAAAGCACTTGCAGCATACAGAACTCAGCACAGCCATGTCCGTTCTGACAAGGAGGTGCTCTAAGAATCACAGGCCTAGCAGAGATGAAGTACAACAGGCCTGAAATGCAACTGTGTCTGCTGCCAGGGTGAGGATGCCATGACATAACATCTGCTTTTGCCAAAGTTGTCTGGGTGCCGTGGTTACCTAATCTACTACAAG